AAAAAAAAAAAAAAAAAAAAAGATGAAATGTTTTGGCATATAGCAGACCTTCCTGAAGAATGGGTTGAAATGAATGGGGAAACTGATTCAGAATGTCACTATCAAATGGTGACTGTTGTATGCAGGGCACTTTACCAGCTGGTGCCAGGAATGAAAGGGGTGCAGGTTCATGTCCTGCCTCAGGGAGCTTTACAATCTAGTTGGGGAGATGGTTCAGAGGCTCAGGAAGATCAGAAGGAGGTTTGTTGGCTGAGACTAGGGTGCTGATGGGCACAGAGTATGGCTCAGGGACTTGGGGAGACCTGATCCCTGGGGGTTCACTGAAGAGGTCGTCATTTAGACTGGCCTGGAGGACCTGGTTGCAGAGAATGGGTGCATCATTCTAGATGGGAGGATGACTGTCTGTGTTCTGTGGAATTCAGAGGCAGAGAACAGAGAGGTACCAAGTGGGTGTGCGCTGGTCCAACCTGGCTAGAATCTAAGTTCTAACTTTTATGAGCAAGTTTGTTCCTTTGCAAAATGCCTACCTTATGGGGACAGTAATGAAGACTAAGGGGGTCGGTGTAGGCAAAGTGTTGGCTACAATTATCCTTTCTGGCTCTTGGCCAAAGGTGGGTGTAGATCAAAGGTGGAATGGGGGAAACCAAGGCTTCAGCATTCATCTTAGTGGTCTGCTTGTGCCCAGCCTCCAAGCAAAAGTGGGTACCTGAGCAGGCAGACACACACACACACACACACACACACACACACATGCACACACCACACATGCACACACACAGAGGTTCCGTCGTACTGGAAGCTTTGTCTGCCACAGTGGCACTTAGGCCCCGAGGGCTCTTTGGGGCCTTTATGGGATAATTCCATCTCCATTAGAGCTGATTATGTCACAATAAATACCACGTTTTGGTGCTGCTGTATAAGACTCACTGGATAACTTTCCCAAAACCTGAGCTGAGCTGGAAGACAGGAAGAGTATGTCACCAGATGGGTGACTAAAGGCCAGGGAGCTGCCCTATTTACTCACAGCACATGCTGATAGATGAGTGACACCCAGTTCTGGGCTCAGCCTTCAGCCCCAGCATGTGTTGCTGGGCAAATTACCCCCAGCCATTGGATCCCACCTGTACCCCTGGCGTGGGGGGCAGCTACTCTTTTGGGGCTATGCATGGAAATGCACACATACCATGCAAAGGACCAACCAATGCCACACATCAACACTTCAGTGCAACCTAGAACTTGCCCACACCTTCATTCACTCGCCAGTTCATTCATTCAGCAAAGGTTTGGTGTCGGTCGGGCACTGTTTTCCACAGACATCCTTGCCCTAGTGTATTTTCTAGTGACACAGTCAACATAGAGACTGCAAATGGCATGTGACACATACAGGGCTTACAAACAACCCACATGAAGTTTCCATGTGGTGTCCATAGGCCAGTGTCTCTAACACACCATGAAGACTCATGGTGTGTTAACCACACCAGATGTTACACACATGCACACACTCATGTCCACACACACACACACGCCCGCCCTTCTATGGACCCTGGCACACCACATGCTCCACCTCCCCAGATATGACTTCCTCTTGCTGAACCGCATGTCACGGTAATAACAGCTGAGATCTGACTAGCGTTTTCTGCCATCCCCATCTGTGGTTTACATGCATGACCTTATCTGATCTTCACAGTAACTCTCCCAAGTAGGTTTTTTAAGATTTCCCAATGAGAAAACTGAGGCTCAGAGAAGTGAAATGATTTATTTAAAAAATTCAACAGCAAGTGTTCTCAACCCCTGCGAAGTGGGCGGTGGCTCACTGTAATCCTAGCTACTCAGGAGGCAGAGATCAGGAGGACTGTGTTTTAAAGCCAGCCCAGGCAAATAGTTCACAAGACCCTATCTTGAAAAAACTCTTCATACACACACACACAAAGGGCTGGTAGAGTGGCTCAAGGTGTAAGCCCTGAATTCAAACCCCAGTACCACAAAAAAAAAAAAAAAAAAAGTGGCAGAGCACCTCCTAGCAAGTGAGTTCAGATCCCAGTACCACAATAGTACACACACACACACACACACACACACACACACACACAGAGCCTCTCATACCCCACACACTCATACACAAATCCTCCCCCAACCACACAAACAGATATACACGTACACTCACACATCAACGCTATCTACGTACACACACACACTCGCCATACATAGGTACTTAAATCTACACATATCCACATTCAAACAGTCTCACACACACACTCTCTCATGGACCCCTGCACACTCACACACTCTTAGAAGACCAGGGCTCTCCTTCCACCATCCTGATCAAAGTCTGTAATTAACCCCAACACCTGTAATTAACCCTTCTCTCCCCCTCCAGGGGAGATGTCCGGACCCGCTTCTCAGTGGCAACCATCAAGCCCAAGATGTCCTCATCTGGCAGTGAGGACCTGGAACCTGAGCAGCCCAGTGTGGCTGCTGGGTGAGCAGATCTAGAGGTGGGGAGGAGAAGAGGTGGTCAGAGAGGAGGAGGTGGACAAGAGGGAGGCCCTGGAAAGCCAGGCCTGCTCCAGCTGTTCCCTTCTCACAGGCCAAATGGTAATTGGGCAACAGGCAGCTGTGGGTGGCTGGGCAGAGGGCAGAGGACATTTCCCATTTGTTTCGCTAATAGTCACTTCCTTCGGGAGAGGAACTTAGGTTTGAGGAACCCTTGGGGAGAGGTCCCTTGAAGGGACAAATTGGGAGGCAAGTGTCCTTTAAAGCATCAAGACATACCAGCTTATTGTGGCATGCCGAGGTCCAGGGAAGGGGTGCTCTTTCTGCCAGGATGGGAAGTGGTAAACAGAGATCAGCTGGACTCAAATTCTTGTCTCTAGTACTTGTGAGTTGTATGACTTTTGGGCATGTCCTATAAACTTTTAGAGTCCAGTTTCCTCTTGTGCAAGGTGGGATAATGACACTACTTCCCAAATGAGAATTAAATGATCCATTCCCAGAGTGGCTGCTCTCAGATCACTGTAGGTTTAGAGGTTCCTTAACTGATGTGATTTCCTTGACTTTCAACAGTTTGGCTCACCCTTCAGAGAGGTCCCAGGAATGTGTGTGTGTGTGTGTGTGTGTATGTGGTTTATTTTAGGGCTCCTCTTCCAGTCCTGTTGATAAGGAGGCAACTACTTCTTGAACCTCCAGCCCGTTTCAGCCTAGGCCTTGAGGCCAATGTTGCGTTCAGTCTCTCTAGAGGCCAAAAGGCGAGAGAGGGAACGGCTCATAGAAGATCCAGTCCGACGTTTGGGCTGAGGATCCCGGGCTCTCAGATCCCCGGGGACTAGCGCGTGGGGCGCTGGCGCCTTGAGGCGTACAAACTCAGCAGAGCCTGGGGTGGGTTGGAGGGGCACCGACCAGGGAAGAGGGCCCCCTTGATCCTTCCCGAACCCCTCTAGACTTCCACTCCCTCCGCTGGCGGTGCCAGCCCGGCCCCTTTAAAGACATTCCAGAGGGCGTGGCTTCCGTGACGTCACGTGGGGCATGAATGAACAGGAGCGGGTTCTCACCCAACTTCCATTAAGGACTCGGGCGGGTGGGATAGAAGTTGAGTGCGGCGGGCGGGCGGGCGGGAGTCGGAGACCTAGGCCGGCGTGCGGGTGTGCGGGAGCCGGGCACCAGGGGATCGGGCCGAGAGCGAGGAGCGCGGCATGGAGCACCGGGCAGCCTGCGCCTGCCTGGCCCTGCTGTGGGGCTGTGCGTTGGCGGTGGCCTCAGCGGCGCAGGGCAAGGAAGGTGAGTGCGCGCTCGGTGGCCGACCCAGCCCGGCGGCCGGACCCCGGGCTCCCGCGTCTGCTGGAGCCCGGCACGCCTCAGGAGCGCAACTTTTGCAAACTCACCTGGTGCTGCCGGGTCTCGGCGCGCTGCAGTCGGGAGGGCGTGAGGGCTGCTGTCCTGACGATCCTGGCTCACCGGATCATAGGGATTCCGGAGGCGCAGGGGTTTCGGCTGGGGCGCGCGGGGATCGGAGGCCGCGAAGAGGGGGACGCGGCACGGGCCACGCGGTTGCAGCCCGGGAACGCATCCCGGCGCTGGACGCGGGGGGTCCCTCGGAGAAGGGGTTGTCTGGCGGGGAGGGGGGCTTTCCACGGGATCCGCTTCTTAGTGGCCTGAATTCAGTTAACTCACTCGCCTCGATTTTGTGAAGAAGGACTTTATGTGGAGGCCCGGCTTTTTGGGGAGAGGGGCTTCTGGGCGGGTGGGAGGGTTCCACCGAAGCTTCTGCCCCTTGAAGTTTTATCTACACCCTGCTTTGCCTCAGGTTCTAGGGTGAGCATGGGGGAGAGGTTGGGGTCAATCCTTGCCACGCATGCCCTTCTCTTTTCCAAGCCACACTCCAAGGCTGGGGGACAGGTTAGGGGGCCGCAGGCGAGGACAGGAAGTCCCAAAGTCAAGTGTACTGAGCAAGGGGTGACTCAGAACGAGGAAATGCGGCAGGTGGGGGTGCGGCTTCCAGAGGTGTGGAGCCGTCACCCCAGGGCCACCAGGAGCCGGCGAACCCGGGGGTGGGGGACTGAGTCACCCACCCCCGCCCCATAGTTCCTGGATTCACGCTGGGTGAGGGGACGCCGAATTGGCCTTGGGCGGGTGTGTGGATGGGAACATTGTCCCTCAGCTAGTGTCGCAGAGAGGATGGGGGTTCTTGCCCTTTTTGAAGGACCTTCCTGTGCACTCAGCCGAGGCTGGCTTCAGTTTCCCACAATGAGAACTTTCCCTGCCGGCCTGGGCAGAGCGTGGCTCCTTGCAGGCTCCGCCAGGGGGAAGCCTGGAGGAAACCCTGGGCTGGTGAGAAGTTTCCCTGAGCCTTTTGCCTTCTTTATCTGCCTCCAAACTAAACTTGGAGATTTTACACTTCCATGTTGAAAGAATAAGAGGCCAGACTAGAGCTCTCGGGGTAGGGGTGGCATCCTGTCCTGATTCCTGGAGCTCCTGGTCCCACCTGGGAGATCTGGTTGCCAAGGAGCACAGGGTAGGGATTCTGGGACCCTCAAACCTCCCCCCCACCACCCCTTTTTGGTCCTCCCCTTTCCTGGGGGCTGTGGTTGGAGAGAAAGGGAGAGACAGCTGGAATGGCTACAGGCTTCCCTGGGCTGCCAGGGGTCAGGGATTAGGCTGCTGTGGCCTCATCCCCCAGGCCCCAGCCTGGAGCTGCCATGTTCTTTGGGCCTCTGTGTGCATCGCTTCCCACCCTCAGTGACGAGCCCAGCTCCTCACGGGATGAGAAAGAAAGAGGTGCATATTGTCCTGGGGAGGCCACTCCATAAGCTCTGTGCCTGAGTGGAGTGGGAGGGGGATTGTGGGTCAGCTGGCAGCTGCTGGTTTCACTTCCTTGGGAAGTGAAAAGTGGGATTCAGGCTGGACATGCTGGGTCCACCTGGGGGTGTGCTGCAGGGAAGACAGGAGGACACTCATGCCCACTCTAACCTTGACCCAGCTGCTCTGACTCTTCTTTCTTTCTCACCCCCATCCTTGCATTTGGAAACTCCTCAGCAGCCACTGAATTTTCCCTCCTTTGCAAGTGGGGAAACTGAGGGAGGTCTGAACCATTGCCAACCAGGGCCCCTCTGCACAGAGGGTCTAACCAGACAGTCTGGCTTCTTGGACTGCCAGGGCCACAGGCCCCTAGGCTTGCAATGTATTTCATGGTAGGGCAGAGCTGGGCTGACCTGAGGAGCTGCCCAGGGAAGGGACTGAGGAATATCCAGGAGACTGGAAAATCCTGGGCTTCTTGCTTCTTTCTCCAGGGCCCAGTCTGCTCTCCAGCCCCTTCCTTGTTTTCTCCTGAGTCCCCCTATCTCCCCGCTTTCTTAGGTGTGAGCTGCTCTTGGGTAAAGGGGGCAGGAAAGTGGCACTGGGGGTCACCACATTGTGGAATATGCTATAAAGAAATGTGGACCACAAGGGTGACATTTATGGTGGGACTTCAGGCAAAGTAGCTTTTTTTTTTCTGAAGGCAGAAGGTGAGAGGACAGTAAGCCTACCCTAGGTCAAATTCTCAGTGAGGCCATGGGGGTTGTTTAGGGGTCTCCAGGTTCTTCCTTTCCAGGAAAGACAACCTTGACATGGAGGAGCTCAGAGAAAGAGCCACCATGCCTCAAGGCCCTGGCTAGGGGTGGAGGGACCAGGCTGAGCTCCCTGGTTCCTGATGGTTGGTTCTAGGGAATTTCCCTGGGAGGGGGCTGTGGCTGGAAGCCCCTGGGGAGGCTCCTTCCTGTGTGAAGGCTTCTTTTCTTCTCATCTAGAGCCAGGCCCAGGCTGGAAGAGGGACGCCTGCCAGGTTAACCCTTCCTGCACAGGCTGGTGTGTGTGTGTGTGTGTGTGTGTGTGTGTGCTGTGAGGAGCACTTAGCGTTGTCCTCTGACCCACCCAGCTGCAGTCAGGAACCCCCAGATTCCTTCCTGTGTAGCTGGAACATTCCACTTACTAGTAGGGTTAGTGAGTTCTCCAAGCCTGGGCCCTGGGCATGTCTGAACAAATCCTGGCCCCCAGCCACCCTCCCCCACTGCCTTGCCCCACAGCCTCTGCTGCAGTGGGTCCAGTGCCACATCGGATTTCCTTTTCCCGGTCTGGGCAGCCAGACCCTTCCTAGAGAGATCTGGCCCAGGTCAGCAGTCAGGGTGGCAGCACCTTATACCCGGCATCAGGGCTTCACCAGGGGACGAGGCCAGCAGGAAATGATTTTTATTTTATTATTATTACTTTTTATTGGTGTGGGAATTGAACCAGTGCCTCACACATACTAAGCACATATTTCACGGCTGAACTATACCTCTGGCCCTGGAAAGGGTTTTTAGATTATCCTCAGGTTCGTGACTCCTCCAGCCATCTCCCATTTCTCTGAACTGGGCGTCCTTGCCCCCAGCCTGCCTCAGCTTCCCCCCTCTGAGCCGTTCTTCCAGGCCCTGGCTTGGGGGAGTGCTCTTTCTTGCAGCCCGGTCCTCAGGCTTCAGGGCACAAGGGAATGATTGCTTAGTCCCTTCCTCTTTCACATTCAGGCTTCACCTTCTGAATTTGGGAACCTTGCATAGGTTCTAAGCCTCAGTTTCCCCACTCTCCTTGTCCTCCAGGGAGGATAGCACTTACTGACCATTATCTGGCCTTTACTTAGAAATGGAGAAGGGTCAGTGTCTTGGGTCTTGGCTGCTGAGCCTGGCAGAGAACGAGGGGTGGACCCATGGGAGGTGTCCAATGGCAAAACCAGGTCTAGGGAACCCCCTGGCAGTGGGTCTCTGCCTGGCTCCAGATGCCTCTCAGGGGACAATGTGGTCCTGGCACCTGGTCCCTCTGGGCCTGGAAAGTCCCCTACAAGGGTTTCCATCCTCCGTCCTCCTGGCAGGGACAGTGGGAACAACTTTCTCAGGGAAGGGACCTCACCAGCTGCGTGTATAAGGGCCTAGGCCCTTGCAGGTTCAGGTCTTTACCCTGCCTGCTCTGTGGCTTTTATGGTGGGAAGGTTGGTTTCCAAGTACCCCTCCCCCCTCTCCAGGAATTGTTCCCACCTGTTAATAGTGCTCCCTTATAGAATGCCATGGACACATGTCCATATGTGTGTGTATGCTTTGTGGCCTAGGTGGGGTGAGAGTGTTTTATGTCGGGGGTATGGCAGAAGCAGACACCCCTGTCTCCAAGGCCCACATATGTGTAAAGTGCTGCTGAGGGGCCTAGTTCAAGGAAGCAGACTGGGCGGCCCAGTGTCACTTAATACCTCCGCTCGCCTCAACTCTCTGCTCAGCTGCTGTTCTCCCACTGGGCTGAATCCTGTCCTGCTCAGCCCAGCTGGGGGCTGACGTGAGGAGGCACATGTCTGGAGCTCTGGCTTGAGAGACATTAGGTCCCGTCCTGACCCCAGCCTACTGCATGGCTTTGACTGAGTCCTATCCCTTCTGAGATCATGGCCTCTAGGGGCTCTCTCCTTCTCTGTTGTGGCCTTTCTCCTGGAGAAACCCCCAGCTCACCATCCCTCTCCATCTCTCCTGCAGTTGTTCTGTTGGATTTTGAGGCAGCAAAAGGGGAACTTGGCTGGCTCACACACCCCTATGGCAAAGGGGTAAGTAAACCTTTGGTGCCGGGAAGGGGTGTGGGAATAGGGATGCTGGTCCCCTGGAGAGATGCAGAAATGGGACTCAGGGAGGATGGAGCCTGGCTGAGATCCAGTAGCTCAGCCAGGCTTCAAATTCTGGGCTTGCTTCCTATGTTGGGCTAAGAGTCAGTGGCCTAGGCCAGGGCTGGCTAGAGCTGGACCATCAGGAAGGGGTTGTGGAGAACAGGCCAAGAGGTAACTTAGCTGGAGAGGCGCTGGAGGCTGTAGCAGAGCAGGAGCCAGAGGGGCCTATAGATCCCTCCATCATCTTCTTGGGAGGGAGGGGGTCACTTTGTGTTAGAGGTCTCAGTCCAGGAGGTGAGAGAGGGGAAAAGAAGAGGCAAGGCCTCTTTCCGTGTCCTCACAAGCTGCTGCGGCCCCTTCCTGCCTAGGGCTGCCCACATGCTTCACCCCCCACCTGGGTTCCTTCCTTTCTGAGTTACCCTGTTGTATCAGCAGTACTGGTCTGGAAACTTGGACCTTTTTCCCAGCGTTGTGTGTGACTATTGGGTGATCTTGGCAGATACTGCTGCCCTCTGGGCCTCAGTTTCTCCCTCTGTACAGTGCATCTGTGCTGCGTTTGTCCTGGGGCCCTGAACTGGGGAGAGAGGTGTTTTTAGGGGGCACCTTGGGCTGTGTGTGACTCAGTTGCCTGAGCCTAGTCATGGCTCCAGCGAGGCCTGGGGTGGTGGAGCTCCGGGCAGATTTCTAGGATCTGGAATGTCCAGCTGGGAGGCAGGTGGCCTCATCCAAGCAATCATTATGCAGAATGGGAAAGTGACCCCCAAGGCATGCAGGTCTTGGCCAATGTCACACATTGCAGGCCAAGCCTCTTTCCTTGTCCCCTCTATTTTTGTGCATTCATTCATTCACTCTCATTCCCTGAGTACGTATTGTGTGCCAAGGAGGCCCTGGGGATACAGAGCTAAAACAGATGCCTTCCCAGCCTAGAGGAGTTCAGAATCTAGGCCAGGAGCCAGGGTAGGGGTCACTATGTGCCAAGTGCTGTGATCAAGGGGACATGGAAACTGGGCGGCAAGTTGACCACAACCTGGGTCCAGCCTGGGAATCTTTCTGGCGGAAGCTGAGCTATATACCCTGAGGCAGGAATAATGAGTGTTGATCTGTTCCAAAGCCTAAACCTAAATGCTGAAGGGTCACCTGTTGCTTTTTTCACCTCCTCACCTGCCATTCAAACACATGGATACACAAGGTTATTGTCTAGAAGGGCAGTAACCGTAATACTGCAACACCAGCTGTCCTGGATGGCTGTTACCCTGTGTCAGGTGCATTCTCAGCGTGTTGTAGACATTCTGTCATTTATCCTCACCCCAGTCCTGTGATGCAGGGGATCTGCTTCCGTTGTACAGATGGGGCCACTGAGGCTCAGAGAGCTTACATGATCTTCTGGAGGTTACATAGAGCCTCAGTCTCCACACTCAGGCTCATGGGTTCCGATATTAGGGCCAGAAAGACCAATATTCAGATCCTGGCTCAATTGCTTCTAGTTGTACATCAGTTTCCTTCCCTGTAGAATGGAAAGAGTAAGAACTGTGAAGCATCTGCCAGGTGCCCCCACTCTGCCACCTGGGCCTCAGTTTCCCCTGGGCACCTACCCATGCTAACCTTGTCATCCCCCACACAGTGGGATTTGATGCAGAACATCATGGAGGACAAGCCCATCTACATGTACTCTGTGTGCAATGTGGTGGCTGGCGACCAGGACAACTGGCTCCGAACCAACTGGGTGTACCGCGATGAGGCCGAGCGTATCTTCATTGAGCTCAAGTTCACGGTGCGTGACTGCAACAGCTTCCCGGGTGGCGCCAGCTCCTGCAAGGAGACCTTCAACCTTTATTATGCCGAGTCGGATGTGGACTATGGCACCAACTTTCAGAAGCGCCAGTTCACCAAGATAGACACCATTGCTCCCGATGAGATCACAGTCAGCAGCGACTTCGAGGCTCGTCATGTAAAGCTGAACGTGGAGGAGCGCTCCGTGGGGCCGCTCAAGCGCAAAGGTTTCTACCTGGCCTTCCAGGACATCGGCGCCTGTGTGGCACTGCTCTCGGTCCGTGTCTACTACAAAAAGTGCCCTGAGCTGCTGCAGGGCCTGGCACACTTCCCTGAGACCATCGCAGGGTCTGAAGCACCCTCCCTGGCCACGGTGGCTGGCAGCTGTGTGGCCCGTGCTGTGGTGCCCCCCGGGGGTGAAGAGCCACGCATGCACTGTACGGTGGATGGCGAGTGGCTGGTGCCCATTGGGCAGTGTCTGTGCCAGGCAGGCTATGAGAAGGTGGAGGACAGCTGCCAGGGTGAGTGGTGGGTCCTGGGGTGGGAGGTTACAAACCTGGTACTGTGGGATCTTGGTAAGCTTGTCCCTGCTCCGGTGAGCTGTGGTTCTGGTGGTTGTGGACTTCAGATTCCCTTCGTATGGTCGGATTCACTCAGTCATTGAGAATGAATGAATTGAGAAATGGTTTACTGTGGAGGTTACAAGCCAGGACTCTAGAAAAAGAATGCCTGGGTTCAAATCCAACTCTACATTTATTTAGATGTGTAACTGTGACCTTGTACCATTTTCTTCACCTCTCTGCTTGGGTTTCATCCACTGTAAAACGGAGAGGATCATGGTATCTGTCTTGTAGGGTAGTTATGATAATCAAATGACTTCACACTCGTAAAGTGCTTAGGTCAGTGCCTGACACATGAATACTTTTTAAATGTACCTGTTATTTTTTTATTCATCCCACGAACAGTTCCTGAGTTTCTGCTGTGTGCCAGCATTGTGGTCTGGTCCTAGGAGCTAGCTCAGTTTCTGTGGTTAACTCACTATGTGACCTTAGGCAAGCCACTTAACATCTCTGGGCCTCAGATTCCTCTTTTTGATAGAGGTAATTAAATTGGACCTACACTTTGCTCATTAGAATCACCTGGGAGCATTTTTGGAGCCACTCTACATAGAGGGAGTGGTGGAAGAAGGCTCAGATCCTCCCTGGGGCCATAGATCCACGTTCTCAATTTGGGTTTTATTGATGACAAACTGAGATGAGAAGGGGGCCAATTAAGTCAGACACTCTGGGAACAGGCCTGGGCGTTAGTGAACTCACCTTGAGGACACTGCGGCTGGGTGACCAGGGCCTGTGACAGTGGAAATATCCAGTGCCTCAGATGTTCAGAGGTTGACTCTGGAGACAGTGGGGTAGGGCATGTGAGGAATGCAGCCGACCTTTGGAGCTTCTTTGCTGAGATAAGCAGGTATTGAGAAATTGGGGGCTTGGGCCTGCAGGTGCACATGCTTGTTGAGTGACCCTGGGGAAGTCTTTACTTATCTCTGGCCTCAGGTTTCCTGTGAGTAAAATGAAAAAAATTGACCTTCATATATGGACTCTATAATAGTCTCCAGTGTGGATCCCAGTGCTGGAGGACCTCAAAGTCCTTTTCTGAAGGGTCCCGCTTGCCTCCAAGGGAAATCCTCAGAACCTTGTTTAACATGGCTGATCAGTCTGGCCATGGGATGGAGGGATGATGGCTTCCCTCTGCTAGGTGAACCCCTTCCCGAGCATTCCTGGTTTAGGTGACCTCGAACACACTCCCAGCTTTAGACAATGACTGATGGTGGGGGCACCAGTCTGGCCAGCAGCCTCTCCCACATGACATCCTCCTGAAAGAATGCTGGGGGAGGGGCTTCTGGAAACTTTCCACACTGTGATTCAGACCCTGCAGAGATAAGTGCGGGCAGGGAAGCCCCGCTCCTCTGGAGTGGGGGCGGGTCAGAGTTGTGGCAGGCTTGGGTGTAAAGAGCCAAGCAGGCCGTGTTCGGTGGACAAGCCCAGCAAGAGGACAGTTCCCAAGGAGATGTTTGACTTAGCTGCAGGACTCTCAGTTGCCAACCACTGTTATCCTGGGTTTTCCTCCTGGAGATTCCCCCACCAAAATTCCTTCCCCTGTGGCCGGGAACCCCCAGCCTTGCTCCACGCTGTGCTCAGCTGCCCTTGGCCATGACACATGGGGACAATGACAGTGACTACTGTAGACAAGCACTTTCTGAGTGCTTTATCTGGACACTGTTGCTGAGTTCGCATATTCTTTCTGTGAGGCAGGAACTGTTGTTAGTGCTATTGAATAGACAAGGAAACTGAGGCTCAGAGAGGTGAAGAGACTCTCTTGGAGTCACACAGCCAGGAGGCGGCTACATCAGGGTTCCTCTCTTAGCTGCACAGCAACAGCCAGGCTGTGACAGGTCAGGAAATGGGATGGGAAGTGACCAGTTCCTTTGGAATCCCTGACTCAGCTCCTGGCCCCAAGATCAGGCAGCCCTGGGATGGCAGGTCCTGGCACACGGGCTGGGGGCTCCATCGGAGGGAGGAGTGATTGGAGGACCGTTGTTGAGCAAGTCGAGGGGGACATGAAGGGAGGCATGGAGTTCTCCCTCCCTTCTTGGCCCTCCCCACGTTACAGCTCCAGATTCTTATTACTGATGCCCAGAGAGGGGGTATGGCACCCTGAGGCCACCCAGCACCTTGTCTAGGTCATGCAGAATTCCCAGAGTCAGTGGCCAGGAGGCTGGAGGAGCCCAGGAAAGAGTTAAGTGGGCAGCAGAAGGGAGGGGCACCTCCCAGGTACACTGTGCGGACAGGTGGGCACATTGCCCAGCAGTGCTCCCAAGAGCTATGTCAGGAATGAGCCAGCAACCCCCCCCCACACCCTGCCCGGTGGACAGTGGAGTCACTCAGGCTGACTGCTGTCCCCCAGGGCTGCTTTGTCTCTGCTTCCTGTGCTGAGCTGGCAGAGCCCTGGCTGGCACCTTGGCTTAGAGAGACCACCGGCCAGGTGAGCAGGTGGCCAGCGGCTGTAGCCAGAGGCTCAGCTCAGCAGCTGGGAGGCCAGCCTCTTGGGATGTCCCCTCCTGACTCCAGTTTCACTATCCCCTTGTTCATTGGGACATCCCATTCCAGACACCATGGTAAACATTTTATGAGTAAGATTTTCTTCAGTCTAAAGAACAATCCAGAGAAGGCAAGGACTCTCCCATTTTACAGATAAGGAAACTGAGGCCCAGTGAGGACCCATTAGCCAAAACAACTGGGGCCTAGCTCAAGGAGGTCAGTACACTCTCCCTATTTGTCCAGGGTGTGTGTCAAATGAGTGGGTCTGGGTCAGACCAGCAGCCCTGAAGAACCCTGTCATGTTGTAATCAGAGCCCCAGCTCCAGTCAATTCTTGCTGTGGCCCCTGTCATGAGTACTTGACTATGTGATTTACCACGTGTGGTGAGGAGGGGTCCTAGTGCTGGTATCCAAGTGGCCTGGCCCTAGCCCAGAGTCCGCAGCTGCAGGGGATGCTTCTCTTGGGCAGAGCTGGCTCTGGCTAAGGTAGTTCTTTGGCAGATCCTTGCTCCAACAGGACCTAGCTGATCTCCAGGCTGGGGCTCTCAGGTTAGTCCCCTTCCTGGGGAGTTCTAGTGGATTCTGTGGCCTGCAGGGGCAGGGAGTGAGCATGGTGGCACCCTTACCCAGATGGTGGCTGTGACTTCCTTGCTCACCTGCCCCGCCCTCAACTCAGTTGGCCCCTCTCTGGGCCCCTCCCTCCTCACCGGAGGTAAGTGGGTCCCAAAGGAAGGAAGGAGGCAGGAGAGCAAACAGGAGATAAAAGGCTGGAGGTGGGAGAGTGGGGAGGGGGGCGGGAAGGGGGAGGAATGTGCAAATGTGGCCACAGATAACACCCTGTGTGTGTGTGTGAAAGGGGCAGGGTACCCCTGGGAAAGGGCCCCCCCTTCTGCAGGGACCACAGGCCCCTTGGGGAGTGAGAAGTCACCAGGGTCTGAAGTTAGCTGCCCTCAGTTGCTGTGTGGATAACTTACAGGTCGCAGGTTGCCGCCTGTCATGGACAAAGTCCATGTTCCACATTCTTGGGCTGAGGTGGTGCCCATGGCCACCCGCTAGGCCTGGCTTGGGGAGGTACCTGACCCTAGGTGAATTGCCACCCTGACCTCTTGACCCCACAACCTGAGAGGTAGCTGGGCCTGTGGGGAGAGGCTCTGCCCAGGGGGCTGGATTTGCGTCAGACAGAGGGCGTCTGTCCCTGAGTCACCCCACGCTGCCACCTGAGGGACTGGGATCAGGAACTGGAAAAACCGGGGTTCGGCCCTAGGTGCAGCCATCATGCCCCACTTCTCCTGCTGGAGTGGCCCGGGCCTGCCAGGCAACTGGGGCCAGAGACCTGGGGCCACAGGTGTGCCGCACAGGTGTGCCAGAGTCAGGCTCTTGTGCCAGCCAGGTGGGTGTGCAAGTGATAGTCTCCAAGGGCTCCCATTCATTCTCTCACTCCTTCATTCATTCATCTCTCCAGCTGTTTATTCAGGAAATATTAGCTAAGCACCTATTTTGTGAGCTGGGCTGTGGGAGGCAGATAGATCAGATTCTGTTCCTGCTCCCCAGGGGCTGCCAGTTTCATAGAGGTTCCTCAGATGTGCAGAAATAATTTTAAATGAAGCATAAAAGCCAGGCTGTGCAGTCCCCCGGAGCTGAAAAGATACTTATCTGTCTCACCCAGCTCCCACTGTGCCAGACACGTAGGACGTACTCCTCTCTATTTGGTAAACATGGGCTTGAGAAATAGATGCCCTAGTGGGGCACAAGGGTGACAGGAACAGGGAGGGCTGTGTATTGAAGGATGCATAGGAGTTTGCTGGTTGGCTAAGGGACAGTATACATGAGTGTGTTTGTCCCCACTTGCCTATCCAGAATTCTGGAAAATCCAACAAGATTGGAAGGTTCCTGGTGTCCTTGTCATGATTTCTGGGACCCCTGAGCACTTGCAAACTATCACAGGGTCTGGGGAAGCCCCCAGTGGGCCTGGGGCTGGAGGAGGGGTGGCACATTTTCTGCAGGCAGGCCAGAGCATGCCCTGTTGACGCTGCCTCATGCTGCATTATCTGGTACTTCCGTAGCGGAAATCCCTCCAAATTCCCTCTTTCCTGCCGACAGCAGGCAGGCCACCCCCGGGCTCTGGGGCCCAAGAATGGAACCCATCTTCCTCCCCCCACTTCGTCCTGGCATGGGACTGAGGGGCTTGGGAGCCACCCTGTGGTGGGGAGTGGGGGCCCACAGGGGTTGTCGGGTGGCTAAGGCTTTTGGCAGAATCCAGCCTGACCTGTGGGGGGGTTTGTGGCCTCCTTTCTAACCTGATAGTCTGGGCTGGGAGGACGCAATTGTGGTTCCTGGGGCTAAACACACACTGTTCCTGTACCCCAACTCCCCTGGGAGCCAGTGCTTACCCAGGATGCAGGCACTTTGGTGGACAAGTCAGGGCATTTGGGGGAATGGAAACCCCAGGATAAACATGGTCTGGCTTTCTGGAATCTCATTTTCACTTAAAAATTGGAGGGGAATGGAGGAGAGCTATTTCTGTACTCTAGCAGGTAAGCAGTGGCGGGGAGGCAAAAGTCACCTCCACCAGGAGGTCTTGAAAGACATTTGGGGCTTGGAGGATACCACTTTAGGTAATTCCACCACCCCGTGGGTTGGAGTCTATGCTTTCCTTCTACAGACACACATGTACTCAGTTTGCAGTCTGGGGTGGGATGCCCTCACTCCCCAGCTGCTCTAAAACGAGTCTTGGAATTTTCTGGTTGTCGAAGCAGGTCAGGACTCATGTCTCTCTTCAGGCTGGATTCAGAACCTTGCTTCTCTTGTCTCTGAATTGAGGGGGGAAAGGAGTGCCACTCAAAGTCAGGCACCAACAGTTTGTGTTTCAGCTTGGAGACCTGGGAGCAGGTCTGAGTCTGGATTTCCCTACCTGAAAAATGGGGTGAATGCTAGCAGTGCCCAAGTGTAACAGATGCATTGTGGGAACTAAGTGGAGGTAAAGTGTCTGGTCAGGTCCTGCACGTTCTACGTGCTTCATGGGAGCTCACTGCCCTTGGGGCTCCAAGCTCTGCACAGATCAGGAGCCAGTCCTGGTTCTCTGCTGAGTGGCAGAGTCACTGTCACTGGGACAGTGACACCTTACAAGTGTCTTTGAGTCCTGACCACCTAACGCCTCTTCTCAGACAGGTGTTGCACAAGGAAGGGCCTGGCTCTACACTCCAGCCTCAGGGTTAGCAGGCCTGGTGTGGTCAGAGTTTGTCCAGGTCAGGACACTTGAAATTGGCTTCCCTGGAGGGGTTGTCCTTAGGCTATCAGGAGACAGCCTGCTTCAGATCTCAGGCACCCTTTGTCCAAGAATTTTTCCCGACAATGCAGATCTGACTATGTCATCATTCCCTACATTAGACCTTCAATGGCTCCCCACTGCCCTCAGGATGAAGTCCAAGCTTCGTGTCCTGGCATTCCAGGTCTTTTTCCACTGTGTTATTGCCTGCTGTTCCCTCTGTCTGTGTCACAATGTTCCTTCTACTTTCTATCTGTCAGTTCTTTGGCACCCCTAACTCTCTCCTCCAGTATCTCTGTCCTGTTGAACTCCTACAAAGCTTTTAAACCCCAACTGTGACTCCTTGGATCCTCATCTAGCTAATCTCCCTTCCTTACCACCTTAGCTTTTTGCCCAGCTCTTTTGGCAGTACTAGGGATTGAGTGGAGGTGTCTCAGGACCCTCCTTCAGCATAAATGAAGGAGGAAGCTGTCAGGTTGTGACGGGAGGTCTTCAGGGTGACCCCACTCTAACCACCTTTGTATCTGTCCAAGCCTTGGACAGCTCTGTATCTGTCTGAGCAGCTTCCTGCCTGTGGGACCAGGAAGAGGCTCCGGGCAGGGCTAGGGCCAGGGCCAGGGCCAGGGGCAGCGGCAGGATAGGGTGGTAGAAGGAAGAAGCCCCCGGAGTCAGGTGCCTGAGCTCATAGCCAGCTGGGGCCAAGATAGTTGGGCCACTAGGGGAAGAAAAGCCACTTCCTGGCTATCCTGTGAGTGGTGGAAATGACTTGGCCCTGAAAACAGGTCCAGAAAAAATGCTGGGGGTCTGGCCTTTCCTGCTTTCCTGGACCAGCCCCGGAACAGGAAGGTGATCAGGTCTGGAACTTAGAAGAGCCCCTGTGGCGGGCATCCTGAGCTGGGAAGGTGGGTTGGTCAGTTGGGGTGGAGGGTGACAGTCAAAAAAAAACCATCAGTGATCAAATAGATATGGTCACTGTCCTGGTCAGCTTGAAGCTGCCCTGAGGGGCCGAGGGGACCCAACAGACTGATCTGCACAAATCAAAGATAATCAGGTAGGTGGGTGGTGTGCTCAGTCAGGCGCCGAGCTGGGGGCTATAGGATTCACCGGAAGGTGAAGTGTGGACCTTGAATGCCAGGCTCAGGAGCATAGCTTCCTGTGAGAGTTGGTAGGAGTGAGGCCAAGGCTTGGAGCCTACAGGAGAGACTCCGGTGCCCCTTGTGTGCTGGGTGCTGGTCTCACATGTTCTCATTGAAAGACACTTTTTGGGGAGGATAGAGGGTAGGACTGGTGTTCTACCACTTGAGCTATGCCTCCAGTCCATTTTGCTCTGGTTATTTTGGAGATGGGGTCTCATGAATTATTTGCTCAGGCTAGCCTCAAACCACGATCTTCCCAATTTCAGCCTCCCAAGTAGCAAGGATTATAGGCGTGAGCCACCAGTGCGTGACTCATTGCAAGATATTTTGCCAGTAAGACTACAGGTCCATAGAGATGTAGTGACTTGCCTGGGGTCCCACAGTGGGAGTGGGGACAACTCCTAGGGAGGGAACCAATTGAATTGACCTTGTGCCTGTCTATTCCTGTTTCTGGCAGCCTGTTCACCAGGATTCTTTAAGTCCGAGGTGTCTGAGAGCTCCTGCCTGGTGTGTCCTGCACACACACTGCCATCCCTCGAGGGTGCCATCTCCTGTGAGTGTGAGGAAGGGTACTTCCGGGCACCTGAGGACCTGTTGTCGATGCCTTGCACACGTGAGTCTCACAGAGGGGGTGTGTGTGGGGACGAGGGGCAGTGAGATACGACCAGATGGTCCATACTGATCACTGCCCTCTGCATAGGCCCACCCTCTGCCCCGCACTACCTCACGGCTGTGGGCATGGGTGCCCAAGTGGAGCTGCGCTGGACGCCCCCCCAGGACAGTGGAGGCCGCGAGGACATCTTCTACAGTGTTACCTGCGAGCAGTGCTGGCCTGAGTCAGGCGAGTGTGGGCCCTGCGAGGCCAGCCTGCACTACTCAGAGTCCCCTCATGCGCTGACCCGCACCAGTGTGACAGTCAGTGACCTGGAACCCCATATGAACTACACCTTCACTGTTGAGGCCCGCAACGGGGTCTCAAGCCTGGTGACAAGCCGCAGCTTTCGCACTGCCAGTGTCAGCATCAACCAGACAGGTGAGGCCCGGAGTGGTAGCTGTGCCCTGTGTGTGCTTGTGTTAGGGGGGTGGCCCAGGTAGAACTTAAGAGGACAGGCACCCAGGGCTCGCCTGCATTCAGAGAGCAGCAGAGCAAGGGGTTAGACATGCTGTCTCTGGAGCCACTTCTGAGCTCTGTGACCATGGGCAGGCTTCTTAGTCTCTCTGGGTGTCACTTGTCTCACCTGTAAGGTGGTGATAATAATAGGATTGTGGAGGGGTTTGATAAAGTATTGTATTTAAGGCTCTTAGAGCAGTGCCTGGTCCCTGCCAGGACTTGGTGTGGTGGGACTCAGCTGTTACTCTAGTCTTACTATGTATGCATTTGTGAATGCTCATGGGTACCTCTGATGGGCCAGCCCCTGTGACTGCTGAGGCTTTGGGCACTGGAGTGGGAAATTCAGAATCCCGGGACAGGGTCTGAAGATCCCGAGTGTTTGTATGGGGGATGGGGTTGGCTCTCGGTCCTCTCGTCCTTTCCCCCATTCCCCCCCACCACTGTGGCTCCTTACATCCCTCTCCTCTCCTCTGTCCTGCCCAGAGCCCCCCAAGGTGAGGCTGGAGGGCCGTAGCACCACCTCGCTGAGTGTCACCTGGAGCATCCCTGTACCTCAGCAGAGCCGAGTGTGGAAGTATGAAGTCACCTACCGCAAGAAGGTAACTCACAAAGGGTCCGCAGTGGCCCTGGCTGGTCACATAGATGTTCACCACACCAGAAAGCCACCTGGAAAGGCTCCCTTCCACACCTGGGGAAACAGAAGTCTGGGGTCTGCCAGGGCAGTGCAGTGCAGCAGAGATTTGTAGGAGGAAAGTGTTCTGGGCCCTCCTAAGTAGCAGGCAGGGTGAGGGAAGTGCAGGGTCTTTGGGATCAGTGAGTCCTGGATTCTGGTCTCCAGTGAGTCACTTCATGTCTTTTGGGCCTCAGTTTCTTCTTCTGAAGGAAGAACAGGGCTGGTGGAGTGGCTCAAGTGATATAGAGTGCCTGCCTAGCAAGTGTGAGGCCCTGAGTTCAAACCCCAGTACCACCAAATTAAAAAGAAAAAGGTGAAGGTGAAGGAAGAACATTGAGTTGGCTAACGTAGGGGAGCTACCTTGCTGGTTGGGACCTTGGGGGTGCAGCTGAGGCCTCTACCCTGCCCTCATTGCCTGCTCCTCTTCCTGCTCCTACCCTCAGGGAGACGCCAACAGCTACAATGTGCGGCGCACTGAAGGCTTCTCTGTGATCCTGGAAGACCTAGCTCCCGACACCGTCTACCTGGTCCAGGTGCAGGCACTGACACAGGAGGGCCAGGGGGCCGGCAGCAAGATGCACGAGTTCCAGACGCTATGTGAGTCAGGGGACTGAAACTGAGCATAGATTAGGCCAGGGCCCTGAAACTAAGCAGAGAGACACCCAGGGAGGAGGAAGTGGATTCATAAATTTAGAAACACCTCCCCTCCCTTCCCTACCCCATCAGCTGGGGCCTGGGATAGCCCTTTGTGGAGAGGGGGCAGAATTGAGGGATGGGGTTGGTCGGAGGACCAGGGATGCACACGCCATTCAAAGCAGTGTTGTAACAAGGAGGGAGGCTATGGACTCTGACATTGGTATACCCAAGGTCAAACCGTGCATCACAGAGAGCCAGAGTTTAGAGCCTCCATAGCTGGGAATACCTTTGCTAAATAGCCCCCGGAAACTTGAAAGGAAGAGTACCCAGCATGTCATAGAGGTCCCTAAAGTGGGCTTTGGGTACAGTAGGAGGTGTTGACTTGATCTGGGGATGGAGGCTCCCTGTCACCAAGTGGTCTCTCCCAACAGCCACGGAAGGATCTGGCAATGTGGCAGTGATTGGTGGAGTGGCTGTTGCAATTTTCCTGCTTCTGGTGCTGGCAGGAGTCGGTTTCTTCATTCACCGCAGGTTGGTCAGAGCCCACACCTGGGCCCCCAAGGGCTTAGGCAGGGCTCAGAGGACAGTGGGCAGTGGGAATCTAATCCAATCCAATCCAATTAGATTCTGGGTGATGTGAGGATATGACGAACCGCACCTACTCAGCACAGAGTGGGGCTCAGGACACAGTGCTCATTATCTCTGTGCCTGTTATTAACGGAGTGTGCATGCTTACCCTGGATACCAGGCAGGAAGCGCTGGGGAGCTGTAATGAGGAAAGCCCTCATTATGGCTACTTAAGGGGCCATTATGGAGCAGAGATCCCAAAGTGTGAGTCTTGGATTGCTCACTTCCGCTGCCTTCCCCACACCCTCTGACCAAAGTGGAGGCTGGGTGACAACTCCCCTCAGCAAAGTCAGGTGACTCCCCTGGTCAGCATAGGCTGTGCTGACCTCTCTTGGGTTTGGGTCCTGTGCGGTTCTTTCAGGAGGAGGAACCTACGAGCTCGCCAGTCCTCAGAGGATGTCTACTTTTCCAAATCAGGTGAGAAACCCCACTCTGTGCCTGACCTGCCTCCACCACCTCCAGGAGTCTTCCCACTTTGTGGTGGAGATGGGACAGCCGGGGTGACCCAGTGTTCTGAGTGGGACACAGAGGCATCATTGGGGAACTCTGAGGACCTGAGCCAGAAAGTCCGTGTTCCACCACCTGGTCCACATCTACTGTGGTCCCTGGTCATGTGGCTTCCTCCCATCCTGGGGGAGCTATGTGTGACCCTGCCCTTCTTTCCCCCTTCCAGAGCAACTAAAGCCCCTAAAGACATACGTGGACCCCCACACGTATGAAGACCCTAACCAGGCTGTGCTCAAGTTCACCACTGAGATTCATCCATCCTGCGTCACTCGGCAGAAGGTGATTGGAGCAGGTGAGGCTGGGGTACCTGCCATAGAACTCTAAGCAGGCTGGTGATGGGTGGTCCAGGCTGGGTCTGTCCAATGCCAAGGCTCACTGGGGCACTCCCCCAACCTTGCCTGCCCACAGGAGAGTTTGGGGAGGTGTACAAGGGGACACTGAAGGCATCTTCGGGGAAGAAAGAGGTGCCCGTGGCCATCAAGACGCTGAAAGCGGGCTACACGGAGAAGCAGCGGGTGGACTTCCTGAGCGAGGCTAGCATCATGGGCCAGTTCAGCCATCACAACATCATCCGCCTGGAGGGCGTGGTCTCCAAATGTGAGGCTTGGGAGACCCTCAGGGTGACCCACGGTGGGCGGAACGAAGGGGCTGCCCCTAGGGCCACCTGACCATAGCTGTGCCACCTCCCCGCATGCCTGGCTTGCCCACTTCTCACACCTGTGCCCTGCCTTGCAGACAAACCTATGATGATCATCACGGAATACATGGAGAATGGAGCCCTGGACAAGTTCCTTCGGGTAAGGGTGTGGTCAGAGGTGGGCGGGGTGTGGGCCAGGGTGCCTGGGGTTTGGCCGGAGCTAAGGGCCTCTGCTCTGCAGGAGAAGGATGGCGAGTTCAGTGTGCTGCAGCTGGTAGGCATGCTTCGGGGCATCGCGTCCGGCATGAAGTACCTGGCGAATATGAACTACGTCCACCGCGACCTGGCCGCACGCAACATCCTCGTCAACAGCAACCTGGTGTGCAAGGTGTCCGACTTCGGCCTGTCCCGCGTGCTAGAGGACGACCCCGAGGCCACCTATACCACCAGTGTGAGTGGGGGAGGGGCTGTCACTGCTGGGTGGAGTGGAGGGGCCCCAGGGCCTGGCTGCCGCGGAACTGGGGCAGGCTAGAGGGGCAGTGGTAACTGGGTCTGGGTCCCCTGCAGGGTGGCAAGATTCCCATCCGTTGGACAGCACCAGAGGCCATTTCCTACCGCAAGTTCACCTCGGCCAGTGATGTATGGAGCTATGGCATTGTCATGTGGGAAGTGATGACATATGGCGAGCGGCCCTACTGGGAGCTGTCCAACCACGAGGTGGGTCCCCTCATGCAGATGGACCTGCACATAAACCCTTTTCTCATTCCCAGACCTGAGGGCCTGGCGAAGGAGCGTTTGGGGCTAATGTTCATCTGACATAGATCACTCATAGATTTATTTAGCATCCTGTGTGTCCAGGACATGACACCTGCCCTCTTACAGCCCAGGGCACAAAGCTAGGAACCAGAACGCGGGGCATTTGTGCATATATATGTGTGCTTGTGTGCGTGTGTGTGTGCGTGCGTGTGCGTGTGTGTGTGTGTGTCTGTGTGCGCCTGGTGTCTCTCCCAGCCTGGTGGCCCAGGAGGCTGCCCAGAGAAGGTCATGTCCCTTCCAAGATCTTGGGTACAGTAAGACAGCCAGGTGAAGAGAAGGTGGGGGAAGAGGCCTAGCCCAGGGGCATCTGGAGACTGAAGGGAGGCTGAGCTGCAGGCCTCAGGGGCTGTCTCCTGGGGACTCTGAGGGAGCAGAGTGTCAGGCCCTTCCATGGAGCTGTGGAGACCGCCCCTCAGTGCTCCCCCATGGGTCGCTCTGAAGTCATGTGTCAGACTTAAGAAATGAGGCCTGCACTGTCTGCTACCGGGGCCCCTTTCTATCGCTCTGTGCTGTGTTTTCTATGGGACCACCCTGACACTCATTCCTCCCAGGTGATGAAAGCCATCAATGAAGGCTTCCGGCTCCCCACACCCATGGACTGCCCCTCTGCCATCTACCAACTTATGATGCAGTGTTGGCAGCAGGAGCGTGCTCGCCGCCCCAAGTTTGCTGACATCGTCAGCATCCTCGACAAGCTCATCCGAGCCCCCGACTCCCTTAAGACCTTGGCTGACTTTGACCCCCGGTGAGTTCCATGCTCTGTACTCATGTTCACTCCTGTTGACTCTAGAGACACTTGGGTCTGGTAGGGGACCCGAAAAAGTTGGTGGAGACAGTGGGAGCCTCAGAAGTGACAAATGGGCTTTACTGGGACCATTAGAGGTTGGGGATGCTCCAGTACCATCAGAAGAAGAACCCAACATACAAGAACATACGTGGTGTGTGTGCTGGCACTGTACTCAGCACTTCACGTGTTCTGACGCATTAAACATCCTCTGAGATGGGTCCTGTTTTTATCTCCTTTTTTTTTTTTTTTTGGTGGTGGTTTTGGGGTTTGAACTCAGGGCTTTGCACTTGCTAGGCAGGTGCTTTATCACCTGAACCATACCCTAGTCTTTTTCTGTTTTAGGGTCTCATGTTTTTGCCCAGGACTGGCCTCAGACCTTGGTTTTCCTACCTGTGCCTCCCACGTACTCATGCACCACCCACCCAGCTAGTGAGAAATGAACTTTCACTAGTTTTTTGGCCAGGCTAGCCTCCAACTGAGATCCTCCTGAGCTCCTGTGCAGCGGGTATTATAGGTGTGAGCCACTGCACCTTGCTTAATCATCCCTTTCTATTGATGACACACAGGTGATTAACTATCTCTCATGACTGATAAGCGGTCAGGCTGGGATTATGACTGAAACCCAGAATCTCTGCTTTTAATATTTTGTGATTTGGGGGTCCTATCAGGGGTCTTGGAAAATGTTAAGTCTTGGTAAGTGTTGAGTGCTTCGATGTGCCAGGATGCCTCATTGAACCCTACCTGACTGGGCTTACCAGATGAGGAAACTGAGGCATGGGCAGCCGAATGCACTGCCCAGATTAGGGTTTAGCAGCAGGGTCAGGGCCAAGGGTGGGCTGGGCACTGCAGCCCCTCACCTGCTTGCTGGTGGTTCCTGTTACAGGGTGTCCATTCGGCTGCCCAGCACCAGTGGCTCGGAGGGGGTGCCTTTCCGCACAGTGTCGAGTGGCTGGAGTCAATCAAGATGCAGCAGTACACAGAGCACTTCATGGCGGCTGGCTACACAGCCATCGAGAAGGTGGTACAGATGAGCAACGAGTGAGTAGGAAGGACCCCTGGGCCCGCTGGCTCTCTCCATTTGCCTCTGAGTGCTCTGTCCACTCTAGTCTCTCTTCTTGCGCTTTCTCTTTCGGGAAGAGGCTCTGCAGGAAGGGCAGACCATAGCCGGCAATTCTGGGCTCCCTCCCCTTCCTGCCTCTTTCTCCAGAGTGGAAAAATAATAGTAAATATAACAACATAGCTGCCACGAATGGAGGCCTGTGTGCCAGTCATGGCCTGGAACCTTTGGCCTCAGTAGGTAGTGCCTGGGAGTAGTTCCACCAGGCGGGTGAGAAACGTAACCAGGCCCTCACAGCCACCAGGGGCAGAGTGGGATTCCAGCCCTGGTCAGTCAGGGTTCACAGTGCAGAGACCATAGAGCCACTGTCAGCGGTCCCTCTGCCAGTTAGGGGCAGTATTCCTCTCCAGCATGCCCTGACTGATGCCTATGAGCAACAGAGCCCTGCCACCTACTTCCAGCACCTCTCCCCACGTGATTGGCTCGCTCCCTGCCAGCCCTGGGTTGCCCTTTGTCAGGCTGCCCCTCCCCAGCATTCTTCTCCCCTCCCCTGCTACAACACTGTGACCCTTCCCAGCACAGCCTTGGCAGGGACACCTCTTCCCATCCCTGGAGGGAGAAAACATTGTCCTCTTAGCCTTTTGTGCCTCTAAAAATAGCAGTGGGTCCCAGCAGCCCAGTTTGTGCAGGGTCCCAGGTCGTAGCAGGGGCGGGCTCTGGGTTGGGAGGTTTTGGGAACCACATGGAGGGAATGACCTGGGTCTCCCATAGTTCTGGGTCCCAGAGGTTCTGGAATTTGAATCTGTGCATGTGTAGTCTCTAGGGCCTCTGGAAACCACTTAGCTGGGCTTTTGACCTGCTGTGATGGGGATCAAACAGGGACAGCCGACCAGAGGGGGCTATGGAGAGACAAGTCTCAGGGTATCTCTAGCTATAGCAGATACAGCTGTGGGTTCAAGTCCCACATCTGCCACTTCCTAGCTAGTGACCTTGGTCAAATTAGGCCTGACTTTGACCTTGTTGCCATTTCATGGGTGCAGCACAGAGGACATGCCCTGCACACAGTAGGGCCTTAATCCAAGTTGCTGTCCTTTTTTCCATCACTCCCATGGACAATTGACCATGGTAAAACGCCCAGGTTCCTTAGCATTTTCTTTTCTGGGAACCTAAGCTAGTCCCCTTGGTTCCTCCAGGTCCCCCTCTCCCCAGGATAGCATAGATTCTCTTCTGGTGACCAGTGCTGAGGGCATAGAGAAGTGCTTGCAGGAAACACATGTTCTTGGAAGCATCCCGAAATAGCCCGGGGTGCTCCTCGCCAATTCCTTTCCCACGAGTTGGGACCAGGCTCTTGGATGGACAGGGGCTGTGTGTGCACGCGCGTGTTGTTTTGAAAGGGCCTGGATAAAGCCAGGAAGTCATTCAGCACTCCCTCCTCCTCCTCCAGCCCGCTGGTGCTCAGAGCTAGAGCCTGGTGACGCACAGTGCTGCTACCCCTCTTCCTCTGACTCTTTCCAAATAATTGGGGGTCCCAGAGCACTTTTAAACCTGTGGACTGTTGTCTACACACGCGGCAGATCCTAATGAGAGGGAGTGGCAGAATTCAGCCCTTGCTCTGTGGGGTCAGGGTTTAGGCTTCAGTGTCCTACCATGCCCTCTCTTGGCCTCCCTGCTTCCTTGATCCCCTCCTAAGGGACTGGATGCTCGCTCCCCTGCGGTCCCACAGCCTCCCACAGCCGCTGGCTCTTCTCAACTTGAGTACTCTCGTGTTGTTTTGGACTTGGTTGGGTTTCTACTAGACTAGTGGTTCCCAGTGTTTTGTGGGGAGGTGATGAAACAGGTTAGTGTTGCATCCCAGAAAAACAGCCACCCCAACAGTAGACCCTGTCCAGTATCAAGGCTACAGTGTGCAGTGTCCTGGGTAGCCCTGGGCCACAGGCTGATGGGTCCTAAGGTCTCACATGCCATCCCTGAGGGAATGCTTGCTGGGCACAGGAACAATGCAACTCACTAGTCTCCGGGGCCCATTTCTCCCACCCCGCTTCTTGCACCCAGAGTCAGTGCACAGCAGGTATTCATTGAGAATATGGCCTTGGAATTTCCCAGGGCCAGAGCTGGCACTGGGAGTGCTCAGGAAAAAGACTAGATGCATGGAGGTGGCTTCAGTCCCGTGTCTCTTCACTCCTATGAAGGGACTGATGGTATGGCTGCCCTAAATCCCTGAGAGAAAACTGAGGTCTCAACAGGGACAAGCTTGGGGCTGTCTGCAATAGGCTACAAACTTTGGCCAATCTGTTTTTTTTTTTTTTTTTTTTTTTGGTGGTACTGGGGTTTGAACTCAGAGCCTCACACTTGCTAGGCAAGCGCTCTTCCACTTGAGCCACTCCGTCAACCCTAACCTTGGCCAGTCTGTGACCCTCATCCCAGTGTGCTACTGTTTGTGGTCAGAAAAGAAGGGAAGGAGGTTTGTGTTGCTTTATCTCGAAAGAGGTGGGGCTGGGGCCAGCTGTTCAGTATTTCATCAAACTCTCCCTTTTTACATAGAAAGAAACTAAGGCACAAAGACAGGACCAGACTCACCCAAGGCTTTGGCAAAGTCCAAGACTAGAATTCAGCTTCCTGCTTCCCACCTCAGGACTTCTGCCTCCCAAATAGGTGTCAGAAGCCAACTGAGCTTCCCACCCCTTGAGATTAGCCCCTGTGGTTGGTGGGAGGGGCCTGAAGTGGCCTGGGCAGTGGCTCTTTCCCAATGGCCTTCATGTCTCATTCATTCAGCAGCACTCCCAGAAGACCTGGCATGTTCCAGGCCTCTCCCAGACCCTGGAGCCAGGAGTGTGGGGGACAGGTCCAGGGAATGGGGTTTCCATACGTCCTTCTGGAGTTCACAGAAACCCAGAAGAGCCTTTTGGCCCCCTCTGTATGCAGACTCCCTGCCCACCATCAGCCCTTCCTGCACAGTGAGTCTGGGGTTGCCCAGGACCCTGCCTTTTCTCCCTGAGTGTCACCCCCAAGGTGGTGTAATCCTGGTGCCTATCCAGGATCCACATTGTGACCCCTCAGGTAAGGAAGCTCTGTAAGGTGGCAGGTTAGGAGGTTTTCTCCAGAGCTTAACTTCTGGCCTTCCTGCTACCACCCGAGCCACCAGGCCTCACCTGGGTTGGCCCTTCCCTGCTCCACACTCAGCAGTTCTCTGAGGGTTCCAGGAGCCTGTGGGAAAGTCATGTCTCCGGAATTGCAAATAGAGCTTACACCATATAATTAGCTGTATTTACAGCCAAGAGATGTCCATAAAAACCTGGGTGTTTTCATGGGCTGGTTGGTGAGGATGGTGGAAGAGGAAACTCCCAAAGTTAGCAGTAAATGTCCTGGTTCCTGGTTGTAGGCTTCTGGGAGCCCAGGTAGTTTTACAGGGATGGAGGGGCAGCCAGGTGAGGCCAGGGCAGTCTGCGTCTCCAGAGGCAGGAGAGACCATGGGCTCCTGGGCCCTGCTATCTATCTGGCACCGAAGCCTTCCCCATCTGCTGTTTGCTTCTGGGGTCTCCCACTCCCAGTAGGGCACTGTTCACAGTGAGGAAATTAAGGTTCCCACCAGGGGAGATCCCTGCTTCAGGTGACCCATAAGCCCCACCCAGCAGCTTTTAATCCTTGATGGACCTTCGGGTGTTCCTTCCTGCACCTCAGTTGCCATTGGGGCGACTGAGAGACAGAGAGAGAGAGAGGAAGAGAGAGTGAGAGAGAGAAATGGAAGGGACCTCTAGCAGAGCAGCTTTTTGCAACACCGCTGGAGATTCCCTGGAAGCCAGCCACCTGGCGATGGCCTCATGCTGCTACCTGGAGAGGGGACCTTAGCTCCCCAGCAAGGAGGGAGGGGAGACATTTGTTCACAGCTAGTATAATTCCTAGTGCTTGCATCTTCTAGCTGTGTGACTGTGGAGGTAAGAATAGTATCACCTCATAGAGGTGATTATTGTGAGGATTTGGAACTCTTTCTTTGATTAGAAGGAAAAGCTCAAAGTGGATACTTCTGTCATTTTCCTAACTTGGTCGATGGCAGGTCATCTTAGCATCATCTCAGTCTCCTCTAACTAGAGCGCTCTCACTCCACAAGTCCCTGAGTCCCCAGCCCCATCTCCCTCTCCTCTTTTACTCCATCTTCCTGCCACAGCTGCCCACTGAGACCTATCCAGCCTAGCCCCATCCCTGCCCCAGCCCCTAACTCTTTTCTCTCCCTCCCCACCCACAGTGACATCAAGAGGATTGGGGTACGGCTGCCCGGCCACCAGAAACGCATTGCCTACAGCCTGCTGGGACTCAAAGACCAGGTGAATACAGTGGGGATCCCCATCTGAGCCCCAACAGGACCTCCCTTGGTCAAGAATACTTGAAGAAACAAAGTGGCCTCCCTGCCAGCTCTGTGCCGGGCCCCGGGGACCTTATTTATTTCTAGTCGTTCCTTAATGATGCCATCCTGATGCCTCTGCTGCGGGTCTTGGATGACACCCTGACTTGAACTGAGGAGACCCTCAGAGATGCCGGGCCAAGGACTCTTCTGCAAAGAACCCAGCCAAGCACTTAGCAGGCACGCATTGTGTCTGTTCCCAGCACCCCCCGCCCCCAGTGCAGGAATACCGCCAAGGCCTTTGGACATCCATGAGGGACTTTTCCAAACTGACCTCCCCCTTTGCCTTCTCTCGCAAGAAGCCATCTTGAGAGTTGGGGTGTCAGTCGATGGCCATGAGAACAGGATACCTCAAGCCCCACCCCTCTAAGAGAGCAAATTGTGAACTTGGCTGGGGGGAGACCCACAGTGATGCTCCCAATCTCTAGTGACTAGTGCCGCTCGCAGAACCCCAGCCCTGTCCTCAGCCCTAACAGGACAATCTCCTGCTTTCCTGGGGCCCTCTCAGGACGTTTGGTTGTGTTGAGGTTTTTAAAAAATATATATTTTGTACTTTGTGGAGAGAATGAGTGTGTGGCAGGGCCCCGCCAGGGCCGGGGGTAGCGGAGGCCCTGTGTAAGACATTCCTGGGCTGGGTGGGGGCTTTGGCTGCAGGAGATTCCACCCCGCCAGGCCACCCTATCATTCCCTTATTTAGACGACATTCACTACTCTGTCAGTGTTAATGACTTGTTTTGTCGGATATTTTTTTGAACCTTAATTTATTATTTTTTTTTATATTTATTGGTAGAAAATGACTTATTTCTGCTCTGGAATAAAGCTGCAGATTGTTCAAACTGATCTTGGCTTTTGGTCTTGGGTACACGGTAGGGTCTGAGAGGCCTCCTGTGTGGGGTGGAGGACTCCCCCTAACTCCAAGTGTTTAAATAGAGCTGCTTGTGCAAGGCAGGCATGGGAGTGGGGGTGGATGGGAGGTGGGCAGGGACCAGGGGGCAGGCTCCACACCATCACCTTTCACCTCAAGAGCTGGGAGACAAGTGGACAGTAAGAACATCTGTCAGTCTCCCACACAATGCCCCTCCAGGAGCTGCTGAAGTACGTGCTTCAAGCACGATGGAGGGCTCTGAGGTTTACAAAAACTTAACACAGGTTTTGGCTTGTTAGAGCCTCAGCACTGTTAGGAGTTTTTGTGAGCAGTCCCCTTTTACAGAAGAGGAAAACTGAGGCTGAGCCCAGTGACCAGGCTTGCCCAAGGCCACACAGCAAGTTAAAGACGACTAGAATGGAAAACAGGGGAGGGAATTCTAGTGAGATGCTTTTCTCATAAAAAGACTGAAGCCCAGAGATGTGCAGTGACTTGCCCCAGAATCACACAGCAAAGGCCTCAAGGGAAGCCAGAAGCCCAATTTCAAATCCAAATATTCTCAGCTCTACCCGTTTACTACCCTAAATGTCAGGTCATTCATAGTGGGGTTTAGGAATGTATTGAGCACAAGCAACCAGGGAATGACCAGCTGAGCAGAGTCGATCTGGGGCCCAGAAGGAAGGCTTCCTACAGAAGGAGACTCCAGGGCTGAGGCTTCAGGAGGAATTAGCAAGTGAGGCAGTAAAGGGGGCAACCCAGGCAGAGCAGAGTGCAGGGATGTGAAACTGCATGGTTGTGCAAAGGTACCACAGGTAATTTGGTATTAATACATAATGTGGGATGCTGCCTATAAAGCAGGTCCAGAAGTGGGGATTTTAAGTGGAGAGAGCCATAGGGAGCCATTGAGGGCTTTAAGCAGGGGGTACTGTAATCATTGTCACTGGTAGTCAGGCTTGGAACTTGGGTTACCTGACTCTTGGCTTAGAGTTGTGCAGAGATTCTGGCAAAGCCGGGAAGGCACTCGGCTTGCCCTGGGGTGTCAGGCTGGCCTGTTCTGCCCTGACTCGTGCTGTAGCATAGCTGGTGCCCCTCCGGGTCCCAGCTCACTGAGCATGGGTGGGATAGGCCTGGGACAGGTGTAGTGGGGCTGGGTGTGGTGAGGGAATAGCAGCAGCTGCAGCTGGCTTCCTCCCGTTAGTGTTGGGCCACCTGGATGTGCTGCCCACAGTGGCTGAGTCAGTTCTTCTGGTATTTGACCCTTGCCTGGCCTGGCCCAGGTGACCACTGTAGCTCTGGGCTAGGCCAGGGCTCCTGCTACCACCACTGACAAACCTGCTGGTCTTACAACTTGCCAACCACAGCAATCCAGCTACAAGGGTACTTCAAGACTGGCTTAGGTCCTGTCCCAAAGTGACTGGGATAATAGCCCCACTGGTGAACTGGATACAGTAGATGACTCCTGGGGGAGGCGGGCTCGTGCACTGTCTCCCTTGGAGCCGTGTATGTAAGGGCTTGTATGTAAGGTTGCACAAGCCTACGTTCCACAGATGGTCCTGTGCTCAACGGCCAGTGGGCAGTTGTCTGCACTTCCCAACGTCCTAGCAATTAGCAGGAGGGAAACTTCCATTGTTCTTTTTTTTTTTTTTTTTTAATTTTAAGATAAGCTCTTGCTGTGTAGCCCAGGTTGGTCTTGAACTTTTGATTCTTCTGCCTCAGCCTCCCAAGTGCTAGGATTATAAGCATACATCCCCATATCTGCCTGGAAACTTTTTAAATTGATACAAACCTAGATCTGTCTCCAAGAGGGCCTGGATGGAGCGACACCCCTGTAGCAATAAGCACACCCAACCCAGATCTTGGTTCCTAAGCACCATTCTCCACTAAAAGGAACCAGGGCTCCTTAGAGAAGTGGCTGATTCTAGGGCCAGGCAGGGAGAATAGATGAGCCGGGAGAGCTACAGTGCCACAGAGTAAGAAGTGCTGAGAAAATGCACCCATGGGACATGTCTGACAGCAAGGAGCCAATCGAAAAGAGGCTAAGCACAGTGTTAGATTATAACCCAATGTGTAAAATAAGCACCAATCTACACTGATATACACAGTCAACTAAACCAGTAAATGGGGGAGAAAAATATCCCTTTCAGAATTCCAAATAATTGCAGCTGGGCACCAGTGGTTCACGCCTGTAATCCTAGCTACTCAGGAGGTAGAGATCAGGAAGATTGAGGTTTGAAGTCAGCCTGGGGAAATAGTTTAAGACCCTATTTCGAAAAAAAAAAAAAAAGGCCTGATAGTGTGGCTCAAGGAGTAGGCCCTGAGTTCAAGACCCAGTACTGAGAAAAAAAAAAAATCCAAAAAATTTGTGGAGTTCACTTCCCCAACCCCTTGAGTGAACAAGCAAAGCAACCAACCCAGAGCCAGGAGCACTGCACATGAGTGGAAGACCAGAAATCAGTGGACACAACACGAGGCTCCCTGAATGCTTTGCCTGTGTTACCTAATCCTCAGACATCCCTTCCAGTGGGTACTATTGCTACCCCATTTTACAGATTCAAACACTGAGGCCAGGGATGTTACAGAACTTGCCACCCAGCTATGAGGACAGGAACGGGAGTCAAGTTCAGACAGTCTTGGTTCAGACTCTGCCCTTCACTTGCAGGCCAAGAAGTTGATTCAGTAGCTTCCCATTTGCTGCTTTCAACTGCCCACCATCATGACCACCTACCTAGAAAAGGTTTGAGAATTACACTCCATCTGGTAGAGACAGCAGTGGTACGGACCAGGACCCAGACAAAGGAGAAAAGCCAGAGGGGGGCACCTGGCCCAGCCTGGAAGGTCCAGGCAGGCTTCCTGGAGGAGGAGCCACCAGGTAAAGGGACAGCAGAAGTGTGGCATAAAAGCCTGGCCCTGCCCTGACTCCTGACTGCACCTGGGCCTCATTCAATCAGGACAAGCTTCTGGTACCACACTGGGCCCTGGCAGTCATGCTACGAGCAGCCCTATGACACCAGCCCTGCTCTCATTCCCACCCTGGACGGAACCTCATCTCTGATCTCAGTTTTCTCAGCTGGGAAGTGGGCCTGCAGCCAGCTGCTCTCCCTGGGCTCTGAGCTGCAGGGGCCATGGTAGCCCTTTGATGCCCCAACAAAGCCCTGAAGGTGGTACAGGCTGCAATTAGAGGGGGCTGGGTGGAGGCCTCTGTTTCTGAGATTCCCAGTTGGGTAGGAAGTTTAAGCAATTTCACCAGGCACTGGCCTTGGATTTCCTAATTAATTAGCAAATCCTGATCCTCCCGACTCACAGCCCTGGGCTCTGCCTGTGATCTTGGCCTAGGCTGAGCCTGCTGCAGGGACTGCTGGAGCAAAGCTGAGTGATAATCTTGGACCTCAGTGCCCAAAACTCCACATGTACTCTCTGCCTGCTCCCCCTGCTCCCCATAAGAGTGCTGGACCCCAGTGGGCCCCCACTGAAAATTTGCTCAATAATCCTAAGTGAGAAGGTCTGAGGGCCTAGACAGTTCATGTGGAGGCAGATTGTTCAATACCCTGGGTTTTTTGGGGGGAAGGGTACTAAGTGCTCTGGCTGGCTGACTGAGACCACAAAAACAGTGAAAAAGAAGCAATGGAGTATTTTTGAACACCCATTATGTGCCAGTGAGCGGGTCAACGTGAGACCCACATTGTTTTGGTGCAGGATCACAGTCCTGCAAGGGATAGGTGAGTCCCACTTTACAGACAGGAGGCAAGATGCCACAGCTAGGAGGTGACAGGGTAGGATATGAGACACAGGCCAGCTTATGTCCCCACTGGCTGCTGAGAGACATTTGGAGGCCCTGGGGGTACCTCTCAGGGTACAGCGCAAAGAGCATTGGGCTGGAAAAGGAACAGTGTCTGCTGGTGTCTCCTCTTGGGCTTCCTCGGTGTGGAACCCTGGACATGTTTCTCAGCCTTTCTGGTCTCTGTGTGTCCATCTGTAATTGAGTGCATCCTGGCTGGGACCAGCTTCCCTAGACTAGAAAGCTCCAGGCTGGCGCCCTCTTCCCAGGCACAGGCCCCACTCCGATCTTCTGTCTTTGGCTTTCCAACCCAAACCCTGTCGGCCAGGCTCGGCTGGTCGGCGGAACCAGGCCCAGTTTCTGGGAAGCTGCAGCCGCATCCCACCCTGCTGGGGACAGGGCCCCTCTCCCCCGCTGGCTCATCACATTCCGATGGAGTCAGCAGCCCAGGGCCGACCGTGCAGTTTCCACACTGGTCTGGCAGAGCCAGGAGGCCCAGGGACCAGGTCTCCTGCTGGGCGGACAGAGGGGCCTTTCCCCCCAAGGACCAGGCCTCAGGGGCAGCTGGCCAATCCTAGTGTCTGGGCACCACCCTCTGTGGACCTGACTCATCCAGACTCCCCAGGCCCACCCTCAGTGTCCCTCCCTTTGAGCCCCCCAACTGCCCACTCTCCAGGCCCCACCCAATCCCTTGTCCTCTGTGGAGGCCAGTGCTGCCAAAAGGAGGGGACATGTCAGCCCACCTCTCCCAAGTCCTCATCACAGCAGCCGAGAGAGGAGTGGAGGACTAGGATGACACACAGAGGGTGTCTGTCTCTGACCCTCTACTCTACAGAAAGAGAGTGAGGGAAAGAACCATGACCACTGGTCCCTGGGAGTCTGGCCTTCAGAAGCCCTCCCAGGCCTGAGTCCCATGACACAGATGTCCCGCCCTGCCCCCACGGCCTAGTCCCCAGCCATTTGTCCTGCCCCCAGACTGGGCGTCTAGGAATGGCCATTGTGGTGGCCCCTGACATCACGGCAGGGAGCAGTGTGATGTCACAGGGGCCCATTGTGGCAGTGGGAGGAGTGTCCCCAACCAGAG